CTCCGAACGAGACCGCCCGCCCGCGGCAGGGCGGGGCCCAATCAGAAAGGGGAGAAAGCGCCCTGCCTCGCGCTGATTGGGGGACAGGGAAGGGGCCGAGGCCGGGCTGGCGCGAGCGCACGTCAATCACCCGTTCGCTCCAACCGCCGGGAGGACCAGGACGGTGACGCCAGCAGAAGTACTGCGCAAGCGCCAAGGAGGAGCTGGGCCGAGGAGGAGAGAGGGCGTGCTTCGCAACGTCCGAGATACTGCCTGACGTCGGCGTACCTGCGCGTTACAGGGCCGGTAAACATTGGTCGAAATGCCCTTGGGAGGCGGGATTTTTTAAAAATCTTTATCCGTTTCCATGGTTACTCGCCCCTCCTCTCTCTTTTCGGGTCCCAGGGACATCCTTAAGGGTAAAGCCTTCTGCAACGTGGCGCCCCCAACTGGGCAGTACTATAGCTTCCATCATCCTCAGTCGGCATGCCCCGACATGAAGGGAGTTGTAGTCCAAGAGTTTTGGACTGCACCTCGGCTGAAGAAAGTACAGTAGAAACATTGGAATAATTAATTTTCTTATGCGGTTTTAAATCTGTGGAATGCCTTGAATTGTTGGGTGGCTATGATTTCGTGTTAAGATTTACACATAGCCAATAAACACTTGTTCGTTTAGCGGGATCAGTTTCTTAAGTGAAAGAAAGCTGTTTTTAATTAGGCATTTCTATCCTGCTCCCAAGCACGATTGCTTCGATTCGGTGAAATTAATCCCCAAGTCATTGTTTCTAGAACTGCATTCTTCGCCTAATACGAACACAAAGAAAGGATTTGTTAGAATGTACGGCTCACTCTGTATGCGCTCACCTGCAAGTATTTTCCACTGACAGCAATGGACTCCATTCTGCATAGAAGGGAGAGACTGCTATAAAACCATCCTGGTTTTAGCAGTGCTTAGGCCAGTGTTTCTCAACCTCAGCAACTTTAAGATGTGTGGACTTCAGCTCCCAGAATTCCCCAGCATACAGGTTTGGGAATTCTGGGAGTTAAGGTCTACACATCTTAAAGTTGCTGAGGTTGAGAAGAACTGGTGTAGGCACATTTCTGAATCTCTAGAAGCAATCTTCCTAAGCAACTGGGTTCAGAGGTAGACTGACCCTTCACTAGCGAGCTCTATGGCTCCAACTTTGTTTATTGCTAAGGATATTCTTGTATTTATCTAGTCTGTTTATAAGGACATCCTCATCATCCTCATTATCTTTCTCAGACTCAATGTCTCCGTAATCTCCCCTCCAGCAGACTAAAGAAATCCACATCTGATCAGTTTTAGCGCTGTTATAGCCTCCACCCTAATCTTTGGCCCTAATAGACTTGTTTTCCAACAGTAAAAGGGAATGATATTCTTACTCAGCCGAAACCTGCATAAATAATCGAATACAGTAAATAATCTAATAAATAAAATAAGATTAATTGAAAATACAAAATAGATGTGGTACTTTTTTTCAGTAAGCTGTGGCCAGTTTAGTGATCAGAGCTCTAAACCTCTTTCCTGTGGATCAGCCTTTGTGGAATCCGTTCCCCTTTCAAATGTTGTATACTACAACCTCCATCATCCCCAAGCCTCTTGGTTGTCAAGGAAAGACAGATTCAAGCATCTACTGAGAAGCCAGAGTACATTCCCACTTGATCAGAAAATTGGACGGGTGACTACTGTTCTGTTGTTATCAGTATCTGCAAAAATCTTCCAATATTGTCACAAAATAGAAATAATTATAATTTTATCAGTTTTATTCTGGGCACTTCTGCAGGTGGCTAGTTGAAAAGCTGATAACCCTAAGAAAATACTGGGCGGGTTTGCTTTTACCCTAGGTTGGGCTAAATGCTCTTGGGTTGTTTCCTTTTCAGTATTATAGACAAGCCAGCCCTTGTCTTGGTTGGTGGTATGAATCAGCTCACCAACTTTAACCATAATAGATTTCATTATTTTGAGCCTCCTATGTTATGTCAAACTAGTTGTTGCATTTTACTAACCGGGGTTTAGCACGTCATGTGAACCCAGACGCTGATTCATAAGAATTGGAGCCCGGGCAAACTACTCATAATTCCTAATATTTGTTGTGAAGGTTCACGTGCCAAGAAACATACACATCCAGGTTTGGGCCTCAAGCATTATCGTTATCTGATGTCTGACTGTTGTTTCTTTCGAGAAATTGTGGGAGAGCTGTCTTAACCTAAGGTAGGAAAAATCAGAAGGATTCTGATAGCACCTTTTCCCACTAATCAATTTTATTCAAAGGCATCAGCATTTCACAAAAGCTGGTGACTTTGAATAAAATTGATTAGCCGGAAAAGGGGTTATCAGAAACCTTCTGAATTTTTTTGTTCCTTTCAAGAGCATTCCCCAAAGTAGCATCTGGAATTATTACAATCATCAGCGGTTAAGATTTGCACGAGGCCGCTTGGAAACGGCTTCATCCTCCATTGGTAAGAATCATGAGCGAGCTTTGGTGGCCTGGAAAGAAGGGGAGAAAATAAAAAAGAGCTTTTTCTTTTCCTTTTTTAAATTAATGGCAGAGGACATCCGCGTCTCTTTTTAGCAGACATCAGGAATGTGAGCTCATGAATACCATCCTTCCAAGGAGACCTACTTTCTGATCTTCTTTTCTCGCTGCAAGCCGCTGGTAATTGATCGGGAAATGAATGAGAGCTGCCTAACTTCACCTATGCAAAGAACACTCACGAGGCTCCTCTACAATTCCCACGCCTTTCAATCAGGTTTGCTGCAACGGAAAGCTCCCCGGTGGATTGATCCCATTAGCAGAGTCACGGGTTGCTAAGCACCTGCCTCCAAGACTATAAAATCATAGCTACCTTGCAGCAACACATTGTCATGTGATCTTTTTTCAAGCCCTGCTAAATGGATGGTGCAGTCTATTCATAATATAGCCATGTACTGTGATTCATCCTAGTATTTCATGACGGGAAAACAGTTAAGACCTGCAATAAAATGTTACGGCATGCAATAAGGTAGTTGAAGATTCCAGCTATTTCATTCTGGTTCCATCTCTCCATAATATCCTATATATTATGACCCAACCACTGGTCACTGTTCCCCCGTCACTAAGCATCCTTGATTCTCTTCCCTTGGGATTTCCTTTCTCCACCCTCTCTTTAAAATAAATAAAGTTGCACTTTTGTAGTCTGCAAGATTCCTCCCAGCCTTCTGATGCTTCTCTCTTGATGGATGAAGGGTCCTGTGAGCCTGATCGACCTCAGCATTGACCCACTGTCTTGAGCTTGCTGAAAGCTCATGGCACTTGCTGCTTCATCCTGGGCTTCCAAAATCCTGCCTTCTGTATAGGGTGTGGTTGAGATGCTTGAAATATCTTATAATGCATTTTGTAGTAGCTGAAGATGTGGATACTTACAAATGACTAACTTCTGAATCCAGAGGGTCAGCTTGGAAGCTAAACATGTAATTGTTTGCTGCCGGACTGTTATGGTTTGGGATATTTAGCTAACAGCGCCAGGTCAGCCTTTCCTATCCTTGAGAAACTAAGCAGGGTTGGACTTGGTTTGTATTTGGGCAGGAGTCTGCCATGATTGTAGACTAGACTGGAAAATTATATATATATATATATATATCAGAAGGCAGCAATGATAAAGTACATCTGAACTGCTTAAGTCTACCAGCAATGGAGCAACCTGGTCAGATGTGAAGGCAGTGCAGGCGGGTCCTGTGATGACCAATGATGCATGAGGTTATAGCCGGCCTCTGTTCACTGACGGTGGATCTGTAGGAGTCTTTTAACACAGCCTTCTCCAATCAGACACATTGCACAAAGCTTCCTTTTCTCTCCTCCCCCTCCTTCTTTCTTCTTTTCTTCTCTTCCATCTCTCCTCCTTCTCCTCTGCCTCCTCCTCCTCTTCTCCTTTCTTCACTTCCACCTTTCCTCCCCACTCTTCTTTTTCTTCTCCTCCTCCTTTCTTCTCATTCTCCTCCTCCTCTATCTTTCCTCCTCTTCCTCCACCTCCTCTTCTTCCTCCTTCTTCTTTCTTCCTCTCCTCCTCCTCTCCTTTTTTCTTCTCCTTCTCTCTTCTTCTCCTGCTCCTCCTTTTTCCTCCTTTCTTCTCCTTCTCTTTTCCTCCTCCTCTGGCTCCTTTCTTCTCCTCCTCTGCCTCTTCCTTTTTTGGAATGTGTAATCTGCAAACTCCCACCCCAACTCAGCTGATATCTGGATTTCAGTCCCCTTCAAGAGGAAAATATTGTATATTCTTTCTCACTTAGGAGGAGAGATGCCCCAATCTCTCCCTCTCCTGGATAGGAAAAAGCTTTCTTCTTTTGTTTTGTTTTGTTTGTTTGTAAACTTTATTGTCATTGTACCTCATACAATAAAA